GTAGAATATATATATATATATTTTTTTTTGAATTTTATATATATATATATATAATTCAGAAAATGCCTGCTGACATAAATATTGTTATTCAAGATTCTTTCATTATGTGATTACATCGTCTATTGCTGCAAGATGGTCTAATTGGTACATTGCGTGAGAATCGAATTGCTGGATTCCAACGCCCGCTTCGACCGTTTTCAATAGTTTCGGTGTATACTGAAGCACCGAACAATCAATCACTATGCATCTTACGGCCGTTCGGAGGAGACTTACAACGTAACGTGATGTTGCTGGAACGAAATATACGAAGGTGTAAAGGACGAAAGCGGTTGCGAGGGCGGCGGAATGGCAGTGGACCGACAACCGCAAATGAGAATGGCAGAGGGAACTACGCTGTTCCACGCTTCTCTGGTGACCGATGAGGCCAATTCTGCGAACCACATTTGCTTCATTCCGAGGCTGTTGCTCTAAACTTTTCTGTTGATTGAAATGAAGGAATTGGAATTCCGTACCACATTTCCTTTGTCCAGGTTAGGCATCAATTAGATTTAATTGGCACATACCATACTATGGGACATTACTTGTTTATTTCTAATGTCAGCGACATACACCATAATGGTTGTGAAGATTAGCGCTGTTAGAAGATAAATACGTGTCGATCGAGTAATATCATGCAATAGTTAATAATTGATTATTCTGAAAATAAATGTTTTACATTCACTGATAAAACATCGTAAATATGTTTTATTCATATCGTTTCGCGCGAGTATTACACATTAATTATATATCGCGCTGTTTACAGATTTTGTATGAAGTAGTTCTCTCTCTCTCTTTCTCTCTCTCTCTCTCTCTCATAATTTTTGAATTAAAGAATGTATAATGAAAACTTTATATAAACTCATTTCCAAACTCATTATCGGTAATATATTCACAATATATGTACTTAAATTAATAAGCTTAAATTCAAAATCTATGTAATTAAACAATAAGGACCAAGTTAAATCGTTACGTGTACTCAAACACACACAAACTTTTATTTTTTTGCACACAGTTAACATGAAAAAGTTATATTTAAGAAAGAAGTAAAAATTAGTGAAAGAAGATCATACTACTTTTGACAAAATATTGTAATATCATTAGCAAAACTAACATTTATTCTCGACAAGTTTTTAATAAATTTATATGATGAAACTGAATAACAGATATTAATTATACATCTGTTTCAACTATACTGAGTTTTTTATTTTGAGCAAATAAAAATAATAAGTAAAAAGTGTACTAAATTAACTAAACAAAAATTATAATAACGAATTATAAATATAAAGTTAGAACTAATTTGAAAAATCTATGAGAATCGTGGATAATACCACACAATAGTGTTGAAAACCAGTGTATCTAGTCAACAAGTTTAAACTTTCAACTATAGATACTCATGCAGGTCACTTGATTTGTATTCGCTAGTAAAAGTTACTCCATAGCTATCTGTTAGGCAAATTACTACAAAGTAACTGGAACTGACTGTTGATATGGCACAGGTTATCTAGCGTGAACGTATCACACAATTCCTGAATCCTGTTGTAAAACCAAACTTCATCCTAGCTTCGCAATTTAGTCCAAGACAAAATTATTTCGAATTCTTTCTGATAAAATGTTTTGTATAAAAAGACATGTGATTTGAATCATAATGATTAGCTATAACTTTTTACAAACATTTGCCTATATATAAAAAATTTTACATAAGAAAATGTGCCAAATTCTATGAATTACATTACATGCAAAACAGTAATATAACAAAATAAAAAAGATTGATTTCCTTGCTATATTAAGGATATATCTGCATTACTTTATTTTTTTTTTACTATAAAATGATGGTTCATAAAAAATTCACTTTAACTATGCGACTTTATTTTACATAAACTTTAATGTTTAAAGATACATAATATAATATAAATATTGCAGTTATATAGTTGCAATTGATATATCATATAAACCGCCTTCTTATCAATAATGGTCTTATCAATAATAGACTTGTTGTAATTTCTTTTTAAGTAATTTTACTTTACGTCACAAATCTTAGAAAAAGA